GCCCTGGGGATTTTTGGGGAGTGGGAGGGGAGGGTGCTTAGGAGGCTGAAGGAGGGAAGATGAGTAAAAGGTAGACATAACAACTCTCTAAGCAGTCAGAGTGCGTGTTCTGATACAGCATATGAACATCAAATTGAAGAATCCTTTAATGTCTTCAGAATGTTAATATGAAATGCAAAACGTCATGCTTTGGATAGATGGGTAGGAACAAAATGTTCAGATGCAATATGGTGCATTAAGAACAGTCTCCATTCTGCATTCCTGGCTTTTCCATTGGTTTAAATCAGGCTTGCTGTTTCTCAGGTCTCCTGTGTCATGTTGAGTTACTGCTATAGTCATCTCTAAAAATAATTATACTGTCATTCCTGGGACCTACAGTATACAGCTTTGGTATAACAATCTTTGATTTTCTTTTTATTTTTTTAATTTTTTTTTGCAACACTGTTGATGTAACACAGGTCTTTACAATGCACATACTTAACATAGTTCCTAACGGGGTTCCTACCCTACAGAGCTTTCAATTTAAATCAGTCAAATCTTGTACAAAGGGGAAAAAAGAGGTGTTAGCTTCTACGTTGTCTGCCAGAGAAGTGGTGGTTTTCCAGGGGACAGAAAACAGCTGAAACACAATAGTTTTTCCTATTTAAGGTGTAATAATGATGCTTTTTAGCATCTTCATGGTAAAATCCTGGTCTCCACTAGAATGTTATTATAATGAGACAGTGAACAACTAGTAATCGTCCTCTAGTGAAAGAAAAGCTCTATTTTCAGGCAGTGCTTTCCTGCATTATACTGACAGAGGATGGAAGTTTAGAAGAGATGGAAAGCACTTTTTCTAGTAAGGTGCTGGCTTGGAAAAGATGGGAAACGAGACAAAAAGAGAAAACAGTTTTTTACCTGTTTCCCAGTGTTTTGCCATGACCTTTTCTTCTCAAGCTTTGCTTCTCTTCTTCTGCGCCAAAACTTAAATTGAATTTGAAAATTACCACATTGTTTCCTTTCTAAAATTGTAACTGGCATTCCTAGAAAATTTGCTTTCCCAGAAAAGCCGCTGTGCGTAGGCTTTAAATTCAGCTTTTCACAAGTGAGAAAAAAGACATTTTCTTCAATAATCTCCACTGCCAACCTGACCACAAAATGTGTGCAAAGTCAGCACTAGTCCATTTAAATCGGACTCTCAAGGACATAATTCAGTTGACCACCAAAACACGTTCACCCAGGCGTACCTATTGTACTTACCTGAAAAGCCTCCGTAGCACAGGGTTGATCCTGGGCTAACCCAGGAGGGTGTAGAGGATTGCTGCTCGGAAGAGAGTACGCTAACATGGGCTGTACCCACTCATCCACAGCTTGCGCCTATTTATGGCGTAGTGTGGATAGGACAGGTGAACTTTAACATAGCAAGACTGGTAAAGACTTTGTAGCTAACACCTATAGATTCCTGAGGTGTGAAAGGGAGGTTTGTACTCTTACTGTCTTCAGCCAGTATGGCATGTTGTCCAGCAGCGAGAGATACTGCAGGTAACTGGACAGTTCACCCCCTCCTCCCTCATCTTGCGATGGTGTCATACCTGGCCCTGCACAATGTGCAACCACATAGTTGTTGGGTACACTGGCAGTCTAGGGAGGGGTTGTGTAACATTTCAGCCCGTTTTGTTGTGGCACTTCAAGTGTGCAGTGCAAGCTTCAGGCTCCAGCAGTTGTGGATTCAGATTACACGTATGTAAGAAAAAAAGAATAAAAAATTAAGGGCTAGTTGCAGTGACTCATGTAATTGAGAGACCCATTCAGATGCAGAGCGTTAAGCAGAACTTGGAACTAGTAATATTGCAGAAAGAACAGAATGTTAAATATTTCCAGGGTTGAATCAGCCTCACTTTTTACATAGTAGACTTAGTGGCCCACTGCTTTGAAGCCTGGGCTGTCACTGGCCCAACGAAGACCGCATTAAACGTGCGGTTTGTGTTTGTGTAGAATTCTGCACTCACAGTATTGCCCAGGCCTGCTGATAGTTGTATGTATTTGCATGTTTCTGCAGCTGATTCAAAGAACAAAAAGGGAAAAGGGGAGTTACTGCAAGCACCCGAGTCAAGTGGGGTAGGAGGAGAAACAGGGGAGACCTGGGGCCTGAATGAAGGTGATCATTTTGAGGTTATGAAGGAAAAACAATCCACAAAGGTTACTCACCTACAATGGGTATAGCCCTTCTCTGTTCCTGGATAAAGGCTACTGGAGCTATATTGGTTTGGGATGCTGATGTGGATGGTGGTTCGTGGTGGGATCATTTGCAGGGTGCTCTGAAGCACCTTCTACATAAGCAAGTTCCTCCAGTGACTGCAAGGAAGATCTTGGGATTTTGCCTCCCTCCACTGAGGTCAGTCTACGTGAGTATTTCAAAATTTTCATTTAGCTCTTCTTTAACCCTTTCTGAAGATGCCTCATACATCTTAAAATTTGAATCTTATGGCTTTTAAAAGCTAGCCAATGCAATTTTAATGTGTAAACAATGTATTTTTATGATTGCATTTATTATAGTGTAAGATATGTCTGGACAGAGCAGGATACAGTGTCCCAGAGCCCTTCCTTTGGCATTG